CCCTACACGACGCTCTTCCGATCTCCCCAAAACCCCAAAACCCCAAAACCCCATATTTGAAAATAAAGTCCTAGAAATGCCATTAACTTTAATTATTAAATTGTTCGGATCAATTTCATGAATTATTGTTATTTTATATATGTATCTGTCCTTGTAGTAAGGCTTTTCCTACAGAATAAAAAGATCATTCAATCTGTAAAGATATTTTTCTCTGGATCCCATGTGTGTAGGAGTTTATTTATTTAATTCTCATTGAAAGTCCATTCCTTCATACTTCTCTCAATTAGCATTTACCACATGTCAATTTCTTATTTTTAAAATAGCTTCTTGAAAAATGACACCACTTTTCCACTTTATTCTTCATCGCCTGAGTCTTCATCAGTGTTAAGGTTAAGTCCATTACTATTAGAATTACTATCCCCATCTCTCTGCCGATATCGACTATCTTCATCATAATTCTAAGAATTTTCTAAAGCATTCCTCTGTTTACTTTTTTTTTTCTTAGAATTTTTTACAGCACTTGATTGGCCTGAAATAGCTGCGGTATTTAAATGTGTTTAGGATTTTATTTGATTCAGAATGTTCCAGAGTTCATCCTCCTAGAGTAACTCTTTTTCAAGAAACTTCAAAATAGAGAGGATCAATTTATAGAAGAAGATCCATTTGAATTGATAGAATTTCGAGAAGAAAGCGCTCATTTTTTCCAGAGGAATTACAGAAGCAAACAAACCAAATATCCAATCAGATGCATACATCTCAACCTTTAAATTGTGGTGGCACTATTGAGAAAATTAATGAATATTTACTTACGAAATGAGAGTGCACTTATTGAAGATTTTCCATGATCAGAATATAAATTATTTAGGAGTGCTTAAATAATCCTGGAAGACCGTGCATATAAATATCTCTGAGTTCACAATCTTCAATAAGAGATACAAATAACCAGAATGCCATAACTTCATTGGCATGGTATATCAGTGAGGCAACAATGAAGTTCATTCCCTGCACGTAGTCTAAATAAATAATTATCATGATTTATTCTTACCAACTTAATGGTCATAGTTTGAAAAAGCGGTTAGTACTCTCCTGAGTTTCTCTATTCCTTTTGATCCCTCCTTAAAGTAGTCGTGATTGGGGAATGTACGACAGAGGTCTCTTTATATCTAATTCTCTGTTTCCTTCTCAACATTTTCTTTGAGCAGTAACTAATAGGATTCTTTCAATTTTTAATAATCTTCTAAAGATGTTTTGTTGTATCTAGAGTACCAAGAAAATGCCTCTTTACAAAGATATGGATACTTTGAATGAGCACCACATTTGCATGGATATTTTGGTTCCTTTGGTCTTTAGAGCTCTTATTCTTAGTTCTAAGAAAAGATATTGGAGATCTTGGAAAAAATACTATTTTTAATGTTACTTATGGAAAATCCACGTTCCTCATTTGATTATTATTAGTTGAGTTTTACCCAGCCATTACTATTATTGAGAAGACTCTCTGAATTTTCAATCTTGCTAATATTCAGGGAACCAGGTGCTATGCTAATCCCCCTTCTCATTGTATCTAGACTATCTTGACCTGAGTTCTATTTTTGGAAAAATTCTCTTGCTCCTCTATCTACTCCAGGTGACCAGTTATCAAATCCAATTTGATTATTATATAAATATTCCCCAGCATTGTTCTATAGTCTGAACGATCTTTCAGCACTCTTGAATATTCTCTTGCTTGATAGACCCCCTTCTTGTTCTTATTCATCTTCATTAGGATCATCTTATACATTTTCAAGTTATATAGTTTTACTGTATCTATTATCGCTCAAATCTTGTGGCTTACTTTGCCCACCAAACGATGTTAAGATTGCATTTCTATTGCTTATATTGTCGTTGAATTTAGTTCTGAATACTATGTGCTACTATTCACTCACTGTCTAGTCAAGCCTCTTCTCTGAATTTATTGCTAAGTTTTAAAGCTGGCTTGATAGGTTGCCATTATATGAGCTATTAACCAATACTCTTTTGTTATTAAAATCATTGTTTCTGACTGTTTTAATTTGTTCTCTTTATATTCTATCTTGTATTAATTTTTATTACTACTTTTGCTGCATTTTCTAAATTAAATCTTGCTCCACCAGAGTATCATTTACCTCGAAAGGATTGCTATCCGTTTTCTAGAGAACATTAGGCTTATTGTGATCTTTATCTCTGAATGATTAGACGGCGATCTCTCTGCCTATGATATCTGATTTTTATTTCAGGTTACCGTAGTTCGAAAAATTCTGCGACAGAGTTTATTTATTAGGTTGATTTTTAGCTGTTTGCTACTGCCTATCACTAAACAAGGCAAGCTTTGTCCCATTATAGTAGTTACTAGTGCTACTTTAGATAGAAAGCTGGTTGTTGTGCTAATTCTACTGATGCTTTTAATTGTTATGACCAAATGTGCTGAAAACCTGAGATGTTTTAGGATTTACATTCAAGCTCACATTACTATTATTATACATCTTTTTCCTTTAAGACTCTAATCCTACTGAGGAAGACACATTCTGTTAAGATTAATTTTTTTGATGCGATACTGTATTTGTAAGATTTTACTGAACAATAATTTCATTTCCAATATTTCTCTGGGACTAGTTAAAAGTAATTGTAGGGTTCTTTTAAATTGATGGTTCCTTTGCACTTATCATAGCAGTGCCTCTGCGTTAAGGTTAAGGAGAAGATGCATGATATGCAAAATTAGAAATTTAGCCACCAGAAACAGTAATCAATTAAGGATATACAATTTATTGTGTAATTTCTGACTATTATCCGTTACCTAAGCTATTATTAAGCTGAATAGTGTTATCATTATTAGTTACTGTGTTTTAATTAGTTTTGTTAGTAGTAGTAGAAGCTGTCAATTACTTAAAGCTCGAGTGTGGACTGAGATGATTCATCAGATAAACTGACTGATTACTTTTGTCCATACTCTAAGGTGAGGTCATTTGATTTGGATTCATATTGTTTCTGATACTCTTGGATGTAATTGAGCCAGCATTGGTACTCTAAAACTACTTATAAGTATTAGATGTGTTATCATTTGATAATTTTCTCTGTTGGGTAATTAATCTAAGGAGATCTTAATTTTAGCTTTGATAACTACGGTGATCTGTATTATCTAGATTCACCTGAACCTTGTTACTTGTCACAGAGTTATTTTAGTTATGAAATATATCCTAGTTATAGACCATGACAATATCACTATCTCTTGAGCTCGCCTCACTAGCCTACCTTTGATCACTACTGCTATTATTAGCATAATTTTCTTCTGAATGGGTATATGTATTAATTTAAGTATGCGTGTTGTTCATTGCTGCCAGATTGCTTCCACTGAAATTCTAATTATTTATACCATTTTAGTTAGTGGTTGCAATTGGACTTAAATCAAGATGCTGATGCTAATTGGAATTAGTAAAGCTTTTTAAAGTGCCTGGGGCATTATGAGTACTTTTAAAGATTCTCATGCTTTCCTTTTTCCTTGCTGTGGCTCCCCCACCATTAGATGAAATACTCTAAGATGAATGCTTCAATTTTTCTACCTAGATAATTTTCTCTACTTTCTCCTCAGTCGCCATAGGTTTATAGTCTGAATTTTAACTCCCTTGCTTTGACAGCAGCTAATTTTAGTTGAAAAGAGGTGTTTATTCAAGTGAGTATTGATAAACAGTATTTTTCCTGGATGTTAGATTGGTATTATCATTTATTTTAGTTCTCAAATCAACCTCTATTGTAGTTAATCCAGTTCCAGCACCCTGCTTTTTAATATTAGGTTTTGACCTTGTATTTTTGTTTACAAGCTTCTTTGGCTATGGCTGAGATCCTTGTGTCAATAAGTTTACTTCAGGTTTGTCATAATTAATGGTACTTGAGATCGATGTTCCATGCTTCGAGTGATTTTTAGTTTTTTGCTTGATCATCATATTTATAAATATTTATTTTATAATTTCAAATCGTAAGACTTTTCTGACGCTCGGGGTTTTGGGGTTTTGGGGTTTTGGGGTTTTGGGGTTTTGGGG